AAGAGGATGTATCTAGGAAGCAGAGTTGACAGGTCTTTGTGGCTAATTGCATTAAGGGTGAAAGAGATGGAGATATCCATAAAACATTCTAGTTTTCTGATTTAGACAGTTGGCAGGTGGTGATAATATTCACATGACAGAAAAGAGAGAGACAGAACTGTGGGGCAAGAGGTTTAGTCTGTGGTACTCAGGAAAGTCCAGTTGGAACTTCAGATGTGGAGCTCAGGAGAGAGTTCTGGGCTAGATGTGAAGAGGAGAGAGTCTCTAGAATAATGGTTCCATTGAAGCCATGGGTTTGGATTAGGCTACTCAGTAAGAGGACATGGGGTGAGAAGGAAGTGGACAGGAAATTGGACTTGAACTTCCCTGGTGGTGCAGTGGATAAGAATCTGCCTGCCAGTGCAGGGGACATGGGTTCGATCTCTGGTCCAGGAAGATTCCACACGCCAAGGGGCAAATAAAGCCCCTGTGCCACAACGGAGCCCTCACTCCAGAGCCCATGTGCTGCAACTACTGAAGCCCACACATCCTAGAGTCTGCGCTCCACCAATAAGGGAAGCCACTACAATAGGAAATAGATGGGGAAACAGTGAAAACAACGGCTGACTTTATTTTGGGGGGCTCCAAAATCAATGCAGATGGTGATTGCAGCCATGAAATTAAAGGACGCTTGCTCCTTGGAATAAAAGTTATGACCAACCTAGACAGCATATTAAAAAGCAGATACATTACTTTGCCAAGAAAGGTCCATCTAGTCAAGGCTATGGTTTTTCCAGTAGTCATGTATGGATGTGAGAGTTGGACTCTAAAGAAAGCTGAGCACTGAAGAATTGATGCTTTTGAACTGTGGTGTTGGAAAAGACTTTTTGAGAGTCCCTTGGACTGCAAGGAGATCCAACCAGTCAATCCTAAAGGAGATCAGTCCTGAGTGTTCATTAGAAGGACTGATGTTGAAACTCCAATACTTTGGCCACCTGATGCGAAGAGCTGACTCATTTGAAAAGACCCTGACGCTGGGAAAGATTGAAGGCAGGAGGAGAAGGGGACGACAGAGGATGTGATGGTTGGCATCACCAACTCGATGGACATGAGTTTGGGTAAACTCCGGGAGTTGGTGATGGACAGGGATGCTTGGTGTACTGCGGTCCATGGGGTCACCAAGAGTCAGAAACGACTGAGCAACTGAACTGAACTGAACTGAACCACAATGGGAAGCCTGCACACCACAGCGAAGAGTAGCCACCCCCCTCACCTAAACTAGAGAAAGCCCATACACAGTAATGAAGACTCAGCACAATCAAAAATAGATACGTTTTTTCGAAAAGGAGATTGAACTCTGGGGAACATCAACACATAAGAGATTAACAGAGGAAGAGGACACTGCAAAGGAAGAAACAGAAAGGTAGAAGAGGAACCCAAAAGGATACCAGGAAACCAAGGTGCGTAGGAAGAGAATATAATTAGCTCATCATCCAAGGCTAGAAAATCAGGAAAAAAGATGAAGAATGATAAGGAAAGGAAAGTACTATTGTATTTGAGAATTTCAATATAATTGTTAACTTTAGGAGAGGAGTTTCAGTGGAGTGATATGCTGGAGTAGAGTTAGCTGAAGGTTAAGTTAGGGTGAGCCAAACAAGGATATATCAAATTGGAGATGAGGAAGTGTGGATAGGGAAAGTGTATGACTCTTTCAAGAAACTTTGAACAGAGAGCAAGAGAGTGCAAAAACAGTAGTTCAAGGGCTGGGGTTTTCAGAGAGGCTGTTTTCTTAAGCTTAAAAGAGAGAGGCGAGCCTGTGGATGTGCCCAGGGGAAGTCAGAGAGAGCGAGATGGTGATATCGTGGTAGACTGAGCAAGACTGCTGAGGAGGCTGGAGAACTGGTACAGGTGAGGCCCCCAGCAAGACAGCCAGTAGTGTTTTTTTACTCTGGTCTTTTTATTATCGTTTGGTAAATATCCCTAGGCACAATTTTTTAAATAGATTCAGTAACTTGGGTAGAGAAGTCTTCTTACATATTTTTGGGTTCCTTACCATAGTATGTTAGATTCAGCAGGTACCTCTGCAATTAAAAAAAAAAAATTTAAATCATTCCTCTAATAGATAACAGCACTCTATTGCTTACAGGAAAGAAAAATAGAACCTAATTCAAGCCTTTCTAAAATCTTGATTTCCAGCCCGTTTCTGCTAGCTGCCCTCCTGGGTCAGTCTGCCTTGCTGGCTTGCCCACAGATGTGCCTTGCTCATCCTGCTGTCTTTGCCCTGCTCCCAGCCCATCACTATATTATCCCTCTTTTTACATACAGGGAGACTGAGAATAAAATTCCAACCTCTTATGGTCTGTGAGGTCCTCTGGGATCTGTCTTCTGCTTGTGTGCCAATTACATATGCAACTATTCTCTCCATCTTCTCTTCTGTTCCTCCAGGAGGGAAGTCCTTTCCTGCCTCCAGATATTCACCCTTACTTTGACCACTGCCTGGAATCTCTTAGCACTTTTCTTGGCTGACTGTGTCTCATCCTTCAGGTCTCCTCTCATCCAATCAAAACAGATCTATATAAAGCAGATCCCACACCCCATTATAAGTGATCATAAAATACTTCTAATTTCCTTCAAAGCACTAAAACCAATCTGTACTTATTTTATTCATTTATTTGTCTACTGTCTTTCCCCTTTCCCTCCAACAGAATGGAAGCTCCCTGAAGGCTGTACTCAATCTGTCTTATCTCCTTTTTACCCACCAGTGTCCAGTACAGTGCTTGACAAATATGTTTCATGAATGAATGAATCGTTCCTCCACAGTCTCAAAATCCAGCTTAAATCCCCCCTGTATAGAGAATGATGATAACAGCTTATATGTGCTTATATGTGCTTATAAGCTGTTATCATCATTCACTATCACAGCCGGACACACTTTGAGTGCTTACTTTGTTCCAGTGGTTACATACATTATCTTACGTGATGAGCCCCCTTCTCTTCCCTTCCAGTTTTCCTCCTGTAACCCACATAGTAGTTATTATTCAGGCCACACCATTTAGCCTCTTGTTTTATTTAATATATTACTCTTTTTGCTCCAATGAAATAAAAATTTCTAGTGTTTCCCCATAGCACACAGAGAGTATTTAAAGTAGGCTGAGTGGCCAAAAATGCCACCCCAGCCCCCAGGGTTATAACACTAACATAATAGTATTGATAAGCTGTCTTTATTATAAACTTCTAACTGCTAATCTACTAACATAAACTTCAAATCTAAGTCAATGAGCAAGAGGGCACTCTATTCTACCTATTAGGTGTAGAAAACAGTTAAGGTGACATGGTTTGTGCTAGAAGAATTTATTAAAGTCTTATTTTCTGGAAAGGATTGTCTGGTCTGTCAGAAATGCTTGCAAAACCAAGTTATTTCACACTGAGAAGTCATAAGAAGGGTTCCTAGCATTGTGTTGACAGTTGGGTTTTAAAATGTCTGCTTTGCAGTGCTGTGGAATCCCAGCTGGAGTCCTCCAGGCCCTCTGCACATGTAAGCATGACTTGGGAACATGGAATCTCTCCTGATGGTGATGACAGAGAAAAGGATCCTTGCAAACTCTTCCAGATGCTTCAACAATCTAGAACATTCTATTCTACACGCAACTCTACATTTTGAGCTTGGATCAAAAGGAATATCCTTAAACTCCAAGGAGTCCTTTCATGGTAAATGATGACTTCAGGGGCAGTCTGTCCCTGGGTGTGGAGCCACACCTACCAACTGGATGTGGCCGTCCCCAAGGCCATTAATAAGCTTGGAGTCCTGAAGGGCCTTCGTTTCTAGCACTCTACCCTTGAGAGTCATAAGAGTCATTCCTAAAATCTTCTTGGGCTCTGCCTACACCCAATAGTGATTTTCTTCTCGAGTTCCACCCTGGGACAGATGTGTGCAGTCAGAAATGTCACCCAACTTGTCTTTTCCCACCTTACAAGTCAGCTGGAAGCACTCATCCTACCTGGTGTCATATTAGGTGTCCTTGCTTGAAGAGAACCTCCCCCTATTAGAAAAGTATCTTCTCTTAATTAAACCTTAATCTTGACAGACTCAACTGTTCATCACAGAGGATTCTGGGCAATGCTCTTCTTTACCAAGGATTCTGTTTTTTAGCTTCTTCAGTGGCCAGGGATGTAATTAAATGCCATTGTTTCAATGACACACACTTTCCATTCCAGCTGCTTGAAGTTCCTTTTCTGCTAAATAGTATGGCAGTTATCTCTTTGGCCACCACTTATCTTCTGTAGGAATAGCCTTCCAGCATGACCTGTACCCCTTCTGCCATTTTAGAGTTCCTGTAAGTTAGGAAGAACTCCTGCCATCTCAAGTAATGTCATGATGTGGCTTATTTATTTATGAGAGTAACATGGCTATCTTTTCTCACTTTTAATTGGGGTTCCAGGGGACAGGCACCATCAAGACGGCCATAATTTACCAAAATGCCAGTTTTCAAAAGTCTTAAACACACAACATTCTGGAGTACACACAGAATAAGAGGAAAGGAGACAAAATTTGTCATGGTCTTGCAAAGAAGGCTAGTCTCCGGCAGAGCCAAGGCCTCACATTCACTCAAGAGCTCAAGTTTAGGTACCAACATTATCTAAAGTGAGGCGTACAGTATCAAAGAGTGGGTGTGTTAGTAAATCATTTATCAAGTGTAAATAAATATTTAAAATACCACAATGTAACCCTGCTTTTGGTATTGCTTTATTTGTTCATTTAACACATCAGGGAAGGAAACAAAAAAGTCTGACCCAGTCCGAACCGCTTGGAGGTCGTGGGTGGGTCCCACCACTAACGGAATCGGGATGAAAGGGGGACTTAAGAAGGCGGGGATTGGGCAGCAGGAGTTTTAGAGCCGGCTTCCAGGCCTCGGAGATTTGGGTTCTGCGCTTCCGCGGAGGCTCAAGAAAGTCGCTGCTAGAAGCAATGGGCCCGTGTAGCCCTTGCGAAGGCCGGCCACCACCTGGAAAGGAGAATCCGGCTAGGCCGCAGCGGGATGCACAATGGGGCGTGGCCGCGGGCAGAGAGGGGCGCGGCCTCGTTGGGAAGGGGCGGAGCCGCGGGCGGCTAGAAGGAAGGGCCTGGGCGGGGACACAGTGGTAGGTCCCGCGCGTGGGACGGTGTCGGGCCCAACCCCCCACCTCCTTATCAGGGAGCACCGGAGGTGATTTCGGCCTAGTGCTTCTGTTCCGGGCGGGGTTGGCGGCGCCGCCTCCAGGCTTTGGGCGCCCGCGGCCTCGAAGCGCCGGAAGGGCCGGGCCTGCGCGCTCCGAGGACCTGTGGGCCGACGGCGCGGGTGCGGCGGGAGGGGCCGCGACTGGGTCTGTTTTTCGTTTCCTTTTCCTCCCTTTCTCAGTCTCATCCCCGAAACCGGAAGGTGCAGGGGCCGGGCTACAAACGGTCCCACCCACTCTGCACCCTCTCGTGTCTGGCCACGAGGGTGCCCATTCCTCTCTGGAACCCACGTATTAAAGCGGTTTCGGGGTACGCATGTATGGCCTTATGTCCCGCAAGTGAAAAGTTGTTGTTTAGCCATTTAGAAGTGGGTACCTTGGAGAAGGAGAAACACTGCCGTAGGGCAGAGGAAAAAACCTTGAGGAATTCAAGGGCGCTCACTGGAGGAACACCTCCTTTCTCAAGCCCTTGGCGCGCAGTTTGACAGGCCCGGGCCCCTCCTGGATTTACCCCTCCCAGTGTTCGGGATGCCGGCCCGGGGAACAGCTTAGGGGCCGTGACGATTTCAGTACCCAAGTTACCAGCTTTGCGTCCTGGTTTTTGTCTCCCACCTAGATCTCGGCTCTAGATGCTGAACTTTTAAGGGCTGGCTGGAAGCCACAGCCCGGTCTCCAGATGCAGTCTAAATCCAGCCAGTGTGAAGACGAAACTCCTTCCCTCTTGTGGGGTTTGGATCCTGTGTTTCTGGCCTTTGCAAAACTCTACATCAGGGATATCCTGGACTTGAAGGAGTCTGGCCAGGTACCAGGTACGTGGCTGGTCACCCAGGTGGCTGCTCTGGGCTGCATCTGCACCCCACCCTCCCTTCCCCAAAAGCTGCAGAAATTTGGGGCTGAGGGCTTAGAAGAACCTTTCCAGTTGCAGCTTTGAAACTGACCTAACCTGCATCCTCAGACAAGTTGATTTCTGTGCAAGTTCAAAACAATCTAAATCCTTTTAAAATAGATGTTTGGGGGAGTAACTTTGTACTGAAGAATGTTTTTACTTGGGTTTGAGGTCTTTCATATTTGAAAATGCTCAGTCGTTTTTCTCTGGGCCTGTTTGTGGTAGAAAACTTAGGCCTGGCTTCTTTTTCTAACCACTTACCTGGCCTGGGTATGTGACTCACCTGTAAAGCTTAAGAGTCTTCTTTGTAAAGAGAGGATTAACTGTGCCTGCTTTACTTGTGGAGTTTGGTTTTGTTTTGAATAGATCAGAATCAAGATCAGAATCAAAATAATATAAACTCCCCAAGAGGAAAGGCATCATCTGCCTTGTTCATCTATGTAATCCCAGCTCTTAAACAGTGCCTGGCCTCTAATGGGCTCTCGAATCATAGTAATTGGAGCAACAAAGCATTATAAAGTTAAAGAAATCATTTAAAATCAGAGTGGTGGTCACTAAAGATAAGATCTTCATACCTCCAAGTACAGCAAATACAGTTTAGGATAATAAGTAATTCACATAGCTATGGATGAATCTTCACATGTTTATTATGCTATATGAGAAGTTTGATTAAACTCTCTTTGCTATTTTGAATGAATAGCAAGCTATGAGTCAGAAGTAGTTAAGAATCTCAAGTATGTACAATTTTAATGAGACCATGTTTTGTGTGTTTCCCATGCTCAGTACCAATATGTTTGGATGACCTTATACTAAAGCCTTTTGTACAGATTTTTTCACCACACCTTTATTTTCTAAGTATTGTTGGAAATGATCTGGTTTTTTCCTTGGAAGGCAGCCATCCTCCCTCTCTGTTGTCTGTTTCTCAGACCAGTCTGGTCTTCTTCATAACTTATCTCCTTGGGAAGAAATTAATTCACACCAAATGTTAGTCTTGCTTAAAGATCTTCTGTAGGTGCTCAAGGAAGTATCAGGGACGTGACAGGGGCTAAGCTCTTCCCGTGGGTGAAGGACTTTATAATGTATTAACACATCATGGAAAACTGCTCCCAGTGATCTTTGTTATGTCTCTGGTGGTAATGTTTCAGATGTCATTTTTAAAACGAAACTGTTGCCAAACCCAGGTTTGTGTGCTGTTTGCACAGCAAGACCAAAGAAACCAAAGTGTTGGGGTTTGGAGCAGAGAAAGGTGTATTGGAAGGGCCAAGCAAGGAGAACAGGCATCCCAGGCTCAGGAAACCTGAACTCCCTTCATGGTTTGCAGGGAAGAGTTTTTAAAAGCAACATTTGGGATGAGGGCTACGGGGTGTATGACTTTCTTCTGATTGGTTGGTGGTCATGTAACAGGCTATTACCGAAATCACAATCATCCGTCTCCTGGTTCTGACCAGTTTGGGGTCTCAGCTTGGAGTTACCATCCTCCTGGGTGGGGGTTCTTAGTGCCTGCAGAAGAACTCAAAGGTGTGAATCAGGTTGTTAGGTATACCCTTTAAGGGGAAACTGGGAGTCTGTTTTGTTTGCGGCACTATTGTTTCTTGACTGCTTGGACTTTGCTTCTGCATCCCCCACTCCCCTAATTAGTAACTGCTTGAATCTGCCCCTTTGGAACTCAGAACTCGGGGAAGGTCTAAGAGGCTGAAACCTTTTTTTCTACGGAAAAAAAAAAAAAGGACACAGAAATGCTTTTGTACCCAAGAGGGCCCCTGCAGGGCCCTGCTTGGTTTCAAAACTTTGTAGTTGAAAAAGTCATTAACCGTAATTTCACAGAGTGATCTTCTTTAGACATAGCATCCTGAAGGGTGGGAAGTAACTACTAGTCTAGGTTTTAGTTTTGTGTTGTTTTGCTGTTGTTGTGTTTGGTTTGGTTTTCATAAAGAAAAAAAACTTTTATTTTGACCACATAAAATGTAGAAATGCTTAAACAGCAAAGAATATCTTAAAATAACAAAAGTTAACCAAAAAATGACTTAAAAAAAAATGTATAATGAAGAATTTGGGTGGCCTTTGTGGGAGGCTTCTGGAAGATCTTTGGATTTCTGGAATGATAGTGTTTATGTTATTCATGGTGGACTCCTCTAACCACGTCTGAGTTTATGCTAATGAGGTACCTCATGCTAGGCCCCTAGGTAGTTTCAGGGTGGGGGCCTTCAAGGCCTGAAAAACCAACCATGTGATTAAGAGGGTTGGTTTTGAGCCAGGTGACATCAGTCCAACCCTGTGGGAGGGGAGGGGGACTGGAGATTGAGTTGTCAAGTGGGCAATGATTCAGTCAGTCTCTCTTGTGTAATGAAATCCTCATTAAAACTGTGGACATTGAGGCTTGGGTGAGCTTTCCTGGTTGGTAATCACACATCAGTGTGTGAAGGCCCTGTGTCCTGAGGACCTGGCGGTTTTATGCTTAGACTCTCCCAGACCTTGTCCAATGTGTCTTTTCCTTTGGCTAGTCCCGGTTTGTCCCCTTCATTATAAAACTATAGTCTTAAGTATAGCACCTTCCCGAGTCCTGTGTGTCATTCTATTAAAGTATCAGACCTGAGTTTGCCATGGAGGGTGTATGTAGCCAGTTGGTCAGAAGTGTGCGTGGCCTGAGGAGCCTCAAACTTGGGGCTGGTGCCCGAAGTGAGAGTCTCTTATGGGAGACTGCCCTTAACCTGTGAAGTTCAACCTTACTCTGGCTAGTCAGCATCAGAATTGTGTTGCAAAATGGTTGCCAATTGTTAGCTCCCCTAAATTAACCTATGAATTTAGGGTTAAACTAATAGGATGTCGTGAAGTTTGTGGTGGTGATGTTGGGGTGGTGGTTTGGGGTTTTGGTTTGGCTTGATTTGGTTTGTTACAGCTCATAGCATACAGAAATGGTCTTTATTATTCTGAATTTCTTTATCTATATCAAGCTTTACTGATGGGATAAAATAGAGAATCTTTTATTTGAATCAAACTACGATGCTTATATTATCTAATTGTAGAGGACCCAATGACATGGATATAATGTATTTATAAGATTATATTAAATGAATAATGTGTTTTTAAAAAAATACTGTCTTGGGCATTTTAATGCTGTCAGACTTCAGTAAGAGTATTTGTAGCATCAATTAAATAACAGCAGTGAGATCAACGCAGTGGACATGAGTTAACTCTGGGAGTTGGTGAAGCCTGGGATACAGCAGTCCATGGGGGTCTCAAAGAACCAGTCACTATTGAGTGACTGAACATTGACAACAACACCAAAAAATAAATCAAAGTTGCTTTAAAAAAAGAGAATAAAGGCCAATGTCTCGCAGTGGGTGTGGCTGTTCAGGTCACTGCTGTGAAAGCTGAATCAAAGCCGGTGACCCTGGGTCCCTGAGCCCTCCCAGCATGTCTGTCCTCCTTCCTGGGGACCTGACGATCCAGGCAGTGGATCCCCTGAGGTGACTGGGGCTCTGGGAGCCGCATTTGGAGCAAAGGCAGCAGGAGTGAAAGGGCCACTTCACAAAGGCTGCAGGTTATACTCGTCAGCTAGTATCTGTTGTGGTGATTTTCTTTTCTTTGCTCCTCAGGCTTTCTCTCGGTCCGCAGAGCTGCCATCCAACTTCCTTTTCTCACAGAAGAGACTTGGTGTTGAGAGAGGGAAGTGGTTCTCTCCACTGCTTTTCCCATGTCCTCCTCCTTCTTGAGGTTGTGCTTCTGAAGTGTATCATCTGAGTTTCTGTACACTGGGGGAACTTCCTTCTCTACTTCCAAGCAGTGTATTTCCTCTTCAAATAGTTTTCTCTGAGTGATTTTACTCAAACCATCCGTTATTTTCTGCTATATGGCTCCTTCACTGTTCTATCTTGCTTTTATGTTTTTCCTTGTTATTATGCATCTTTGAGTGACTCTGGCCTTGAAGACAAGCATTGACAGTCTATGAGATGAAAGTTTAGGGGACTCTCTTTTCTGTCTGTTTTCAAGAAAGCCTACTGTGTTCTCAAGTGGAGACCTGTTCAGATTTTTTTTAAGTGTTGCCCCATGTTGGTAATTAATGTCAGAGGACTGGCATCCACCACAGGTGACTTGAGGACTTCGTTGGCATTGTGTCATCAATCCTGTATTCTCCATGTACGTGCCTTTTCCATGTGGTTCAGCCCATGTGGAGCACCTTTTGGCTGGCACTTTTCCCCTTAAAATATATCCACTCTTCGTTATAAAAACTACCAAAGCCGTACATACCAGGGTACATACCAAAGAGTCCTGGGGCTTGTTTCAAGCTTTCGTGGCTTCCAGGCTAGCCGGAAAGACCGTTCAGGGGCAGGCAGCAGGCCCTCCAGGGGTCCGCACGGCTCCATGGCTCTGCCCTTGACTGCTGGTGTCCTAGGAGCCACAGCCTACCACACAGAGCGCGGTGGGCTGTTGCGTCTCTGACGGGACCAGCAGCACCCCGTTTCTAAAGCCTGACAACCGGGACCGACCTTCGGTCGGGGGAGGGAGAGGCCAGTCAGGTTCTAGGAGAGAGTTCTCCCTAAGTTAGCTCTGCTCAGTACTCAAATAGAAAGCCCAGGGCATTTGGGGAAGCAGAAAGGGCTGACCACAGGCAGAGACCTGTCTGGAACTCGGGTCATCATCACCCCCACCCGGCCCTGCAGCAAAGCTGGATGAAAGCAAGGTCCGCCGCCATTGCCCCTGTCTGCGTGTGAGCGAGTCCTGGCGCGGTGGTGGTGCAGAGGATGCCGTGCCCCAGCCCCTCATTTAAACTTCCCTTCTGCAGAGGTCCTGTGGGACCCGGCCCCCTCTGAAGGCGCACTCTCTCCTCTGTGTCTGGTCAGGGCAGGCAGGCAGGCCCGGGGGATTGAGGGCCTCCCCACAGCTCATTGCTGGATTTCAATGGTAAGAACTCAGAAGTCATTCAAGAACTGCCCTGCCCTACTCTGGAGATTTCATGGATTTTCCGTGGAGTCAGTTCAACCCTGTTCAATCCACGTGTTCCTAGAGGGAAGCGACTCTGTTCCAGGAGTAACTCAGGGACCCAGGCTCCTTAGCCCATATGGCCCTGCCACTTCAGCTCTTGGCCCCGCAGGTTGCCCTCTGCATAGTCTTTCCAGTCTGCTAAGTCATCTCTAGAAGTCTGCCTCTGCTAGGGAGATGGCTCTTCTTTGAGCTAAATTTGACACCTTCAAACCATGTCTCCCTCTCCTAAAATCTCAGGCTGACTGAGGCTCGGAGTCTCCTTGTCCATCCCCCACCCGGGGACTCAACCATGGGTGACAGGTTCCCAGCCCCTGCATCCACGTGGGAAACAGAACCATCAGCAATGTCATTCTGGGGGGTTCTGAAGGGCTTCAGGGTTCAGTGCAGGGCCCCCTCCCCACAGGGGATGTGCAGAAGACAGGCTCTGAGCAGTCTTGGCAAGAACCAGAGAGGGTGAGGGTGGCCAAATGCTGAAGTGATAAGTGAGTCTTTGTTTACAGTTCATGTATGTATTTGAAAAGGAAGTCACCCTTAAGTTTATAGCCTCTTTCTCAAAGTAAGGAATTCAGTCGTCATAAGGAGAAGAAAAAAAAAAAGGCTGGGGAAGATTTTAGTGCAGACTCTTTAGCTGCAGGTGATAGGAAGCCAGTGCAGGTAGCTTAAGCTCAAATAGGCAATTCAGGTAAGGGTGTTGGGGGTTCCCCAGGAGGTGGGACAGCACTGGGGCCTCAGGTGGGAATGGGGGACTCACCAGAGCCAGGAGTCCCCCTCTCTGTTCCGTCTCTGCCACTGAGTCCAGAGAAGGCCTCTGGGTGTTGGCGGGCGGGGTTCTCCCTCTCAGGTTTCTCCTCTGGGGCAACCTGCCTGCTGGCGTCTGTCTGTTGCCTAAGCTTTGGAAGTAGAATTTTAAAAAGAGAAGTTTTTGAGTTGTAATCTGCTGGCCCCAAAGGGTCATGTTTTGTAACCTAATTATCTTCTCTTTTTCTTAAAAAAAAAAAAAAAAAGCTACTGCTAATTCGTAGAAATGATGACTGGTTTCCTATAAAAGCCAAAGAAGCCTTTCTCGTGGTTTCCTCTCTCTTTCCTTTTCCAGTCCCTCAAAATATAAGTACTGTGTCAGGGCTGTCTTTATGCCCTTGATGAGAGTTCTACAGGGAGGTGCATTTCATTGTCACAAGTGAAGAGATTAGCCAGATCTAGTTGGGCAGTATTGGTTTTCTCTTTTCTGTACTCGCTTGAGCTTCTTTAAACTTTCACTTATAACCTTTGAGGAAAAGACATCTGCATTTCTTAGGGCTTGCCTTTTGTCAAAAGCCGATTCTTAGGTTTGAAATTTTAGCAGGCAGCATGCCGTTGAGTTTCTGACACAGTTAACATTTACTAAAGCAGAAAACGTCATCATACATTATATGGACTTTGCCTTTTTCTTCCGTTTAATTTCAGGTATATTTTTTTACAATGGGCATCCAATAAAACAGGTGGATATCTTGGGAACCGTAATTGGAGTGAGAGAAAAAGATGCATTCTACAGTTATGGAGGTAAGAACAATTGTGTCTGACATTAAGTTTATGTGGAAGGACCGCACATAGCTAGACATTGAATCTAAAGAAACCCCAGCCTTTCAGAGCAGCGGAGGACTCTCACAAACTCTGTGTACTTGGCCTCTAATGGGAACCATTTGCAGCCACCAACATAGACTAAATGTCAAATGAGGCAACAGGTAGGAATGATCCTGATGGATACTGTCGGGTGACACTTCTTGGGGAGCTGGGAGACAGCAGAATTAAAATGCAGTCCAGGGTCACTGGTTGATCAGGGACAGACACCTGATACCTAGGGCATAGCTATAAATAGCAGAGGATGGTAGTATATGTTTATATTGATAACCTTTAAAGTAAGAAGGCCAGACTATTAAAGTAGACTTAAAGAAGATGGGGAGAGATGAAAAATAATTTATAGATTTATATCCAAAACAGTTTTTAAAAATAACATTTTGGTACACCTTTGGGTTATCAGAAAATTTCCCTTCCCTTATGATGACAGAAACTAAATAAAGGGTTTCTGTATAGTTTGACCACCATCAAATTGTTAGAATATGATTTTAGTGTCACAGGTCTTGATTTTTTGTTTTTCATTGAATTTAATGTAATCATTTTAGTATATTCTCTAAAATTCTCACAGTTAAGAGGCCAAGCTAAATGTTTTGTGGGAAGCTTCATTTTGAATTCCAAACCTTTGCTGTAATTGACTTTGTCACTTTTTGTTGTACTGACTTGGATTTGCATTCATGTTCTACTTGGGGGAAAAATAGAAGGTAATTAAACTAGGTGACCAAGAACATCCCATTGACTGTCTGTGTGTGACTGATAATTTACAGATACAGTTTCTTCAACATATATTCATTTTCCTGGGGATAATTGTCTTGTGTTTATAAAATGACATGTGAGAGGGGAGATTTCTCACACCGTCTGCTTTTTCCCAACCTACATATATTTTTTTAAACTCTAAAATAGATCATCTTGTCATACATCCCCATCCTGGATCTCTTCTCTGCCTTATTTTACCAAAGACACTGGTTCTCTTTTTCTCCAGACAGTACACTAAATATTCACCAAGTTCCTGTAGCATTCTCAACTGCTGGCTAGTACCTTATCTGTAAGACATTATAGTACTTCCTCTTCAAGTACCAGTGATGAAATACTAGTATCTTTCAGTTTACAGAGCACTCCTACATGCATAATTTCATGTTGTTCTCCTCCTAATCTTTTGAAGTAGAAAGGACAAGTATTATTGCCATTTTATAGATGAGAAAACTAAAGCTCAGTTATTTGCTCAAGGTCCCACTGATGATCCAATCTCTTCACTGACTCCAATGTGCCGTGTAGTCTCTGTATAACTCAAATGTGGTTTTTCTCTCTCCTACGTCCCTCCCCCCAGAAGATCAGCTGCATCTTTTTTTTTTTAAATTCTGTTTATTTGGCTTAGGTCTTATTTGCAGCATGCAGGATTTTTTTCTTCCTTTTTTTTTTTTTTTAAAGTTATGGTATGTGGGATCTAGTTTCCTGACCAGGGATCAAACAACCCAGACCCTCTGCTTGGGAGCATGGAGTTCTAACCACTGGGCAACCAGTGAAGTCCCTGCATCTGGTTTTTAATTTTCTGATTTTTAGATCAAAATGTGGCTATTTGAGGACATTAGTCCTGGCTCTAGAACCAGGCCAGATATAATGCCTCTGACCTAAAAGGGCTTCACTTAACCCCTTTTCTCATTATGAAAAGATGAAGGGGTTATGGCTGCCTCTTCCCCGATAACCATTTCTCTTAGACTGGATATCGTGAGAGCGTGACACATCTGTGGTTTGTGGGGACATGAAAAGCATTTGCAGGTTGAGAGTGGAAACACTTTTGTGACTTTAATTCTTGTGAGGCCTGCTCAAGAGAGAGCTGCACACTCCCTGACCCTCTTAGGCCTAGCTTGGCTCTCGGGCCACCTGCCAGGTGGCCACTCCTGCTGTCCCAGGTCCTGTTTGTTCCTCTTGGCTCACCCCACTCCTACATGCTAGATTTGCTTCCTGCTTAGCCTGATTTCGTCCCATGGCTGAAACAAAAAGTCAGCAGCCCAGGTCATGCCACCCAGTGTGGGAGGACTGCCCAGCACTGCAGGTACGCTCCCCTTTTAGGGCCTTTCAGCAGCCAGACCTCAGGGCATCAGGACAGGGTCTGCCAGGAGAGGTTACACACCAGGAAGTCAGAGAGTTTGGAGGGGGGGTCCTGAGCACACAGAGCTAGCTCCTGGCGGCAACTCCAGCTCAGACCTGGAATCCTGGGAGACTAGAGTTAAGACCAGAATGACCTCACGTTTTCTAGGACAAATGTTCGTGTGCTAATATTTTTTTTACTTAACGTGTCAAGATTTTAAACTGGCCAGAAAAGTAGTGTTGCCTAAAAGTCTTCATACATTATTTTTTTTAACTCAAAACATCCTTATTAATTTTTTTTTTTTGCTTCTTAAAATGATACTCATTATAAGATAAAATTTAAAGCCAGAGAACATTTTAATACATTTTAATAAAATCCTGTGAAAATCTATAAATCAGACAAACACAGTGTCAGTGTTTGGGTGAACATCCTTCCTATATTTTTAACATGTTCCTAATATGAAGAAATGGGGCTTCCCAGGCGGCGCTAGTGGTGAAGAATCTATCTGCCAATGAAGAAGACATGAGAGACACGGGTTTGATCCCTGGGTCAGGAATATCCCCTGGAGTAGGGAAGTGGCAACCCATTCTAGTATTCTTGCCTGGAAAATTACACGGACAGAGGAGCCTGGCAGGCTACAATCCATGGGGCCACAAAGAGTCAGACATGACTGAGCACAATATGAAGAAACATAGATATACCTTCTTTCCTCACTGCTATTATGGATATTTCTTTCTCATTTTAGTATTCCTGAAATTAAGCTTATAATCAATGTATACACTGACTTTGGGGTTCCTTCTATACACTCCAAAAGAAACTTCTATAAATATTTTAATGTCTTAAGATCATTTCTATCAAAACAGACTAATATTTTAATATTTTATACAAATTAGATTACATATAAGATATATATGTCTATATATATCATTTCTATTTTAACAGCAGTGACTGTGCAACTGAAAGTCGCTCAGTCGGGTCCGACTCTTTGTGATCCCATGGACTGTACAGTCCATGGAATTCTCCAGGCCAGAACACTGGAGTGGGTAGCCTTTCCTTCTCCAGGGGATCTTCCCAACCCAGGGATCAAACCCAGGTCTCCCGCATCGCAGGCAGATTCTTTACCAGCTGAACCACAAGTGAATCCCGCAGTGACTGTAGATCTTCATTATAACTTTGTATTCTCATACATCATGCCATTGTCATTTATTTAACCTGTTATGGTGTGTGCTCAGTCCTGTCCAACTCTTTGCGACCTTATGGACTTTAGCCATTTAACCAGTTACATATTTATAAACATTTAGGTTTTTTCCAACTTCCAGTCCTGTAAAGTATCCTATAATGAATAGCTTTATACAAGATCTATGTATCTGTGTATATTTGTTCTGTTCTTCTCATCATCATAAATTACAAAAGTAAATACTAAGTCAGAGAATATAAACATTTCAAAATTTGATACACAATTCCAAACTTAAAATCTTTAGAAATTTGGTGTGAATTTACATTCCCACCAGCAGCATGTGAGGGTATCAGTATTTTTAATATTTGTCATTCTAGTAGTTGAGAAATTATTTAAATTTGCTTCTTTTTTTTCTGGTAACTAGTGATTTAGCATACTGACATATGTCTGTTGGTCACTTTTATACCTTTCATGAATGGCATATTTTTTTTCTTTGCCACCTTTTCTCTTATAGTCTTGATCTTTTCCTTATTAGTTTGTGTGAGTTCTTTATGTATTAAGATATTAACCCCATCATTTGTAAAATTGCTATACAGTATTAGTTTTTAGTTGTTCAAATAGATCAGATTTTTTGGAATGAATTCTGATTTTCAGGTCTGCTTAAAAGAAATCTTCCCCCCACCAACTCTTAAGTCCAGGGTTGAAAGTATTCACCCATATTTTCTTATCTTCTGAAGTTTACCTGTATTATATTTAATAAAATAAAATCCATCTAGAATTTATTTTAGTTTAAGAAGTCTTCTCAGATTCTGCTTTCAATACAGATTTAAACCAGCAATAAAAAGATTATGCCACCTATTTCTTCTGTATTACATAGTGTGCTTTTCTAACAGTCTAGCTGTTGGTTTTTTAAAAAAAATCATTAAGCCCACTGACCTCTTATTGATCAGTCTCTATTCTGAGATTGTAAGAAATTAGGCAAAGAGAAACACTTACCATTCCTGATCAAACATCTCTAAATTTCTCTGCAGTTGTAAATCCAAGTACAATGGAAATTCTTTTATTTTTCTTTTGCACTGTGGATAAAATAAGCCAGACCAGTACTGTTTGTGTGACCAAGATATAATTATGTTGTATCATGAAAGTAAAACATTGCTCTCTGTGATATGCTTAGCTTTCCTTACATCCCCTGCAGTGATAAGGCCTGGGCAGAAGTTAATACCCTTGAGATAGGGCAAGAGAAACGTTAACTACATTCTGCTGGGCTCATGTATTACATTGACATTCCAGAGAATCAGTTCCCACTGGGGTGTGGTAAGCAGTTATTTCTAAGGGTGGGAAAAAAGTTTGATCAGGGATTTGCCTAACCAGGCTATTGAAAAATGTCATCTTTCAGTTTGGCTGAATGCAATGGCAGTGTGCTAATTTACTAGTGATGACCCCATATCTCTACCCTTTGACACTTCTGTTGCAGTGGATGATAGCACTGGAGTTATAAACTGCATCTGCTGGAAAAGGCTGAATAATACCAAATCCTCATCAGGTAATTTTATTTGCCATGCTTCTTTACTTTTATGGGGCTTCCCTTGTGACTCAGCTGTTAAAGAATCTGCCTGCGATGCGGGAGACCTGGGTTCGATCCCTGGGTTGGGAAGATCCTCTGGAGAAGGAAAGGCTACCCACTCCGGTATTTTGGCCTGGAGAATTCCATGGACTGTATAGTCCATATAGTCCATGGGGTTGCAAAGAATCAGACAAGACTAAGTGACTTTCACCTCACTTCACTTTACTTTTACAGCTAACCAACAGATGGAACTCAAGCTAGCTCAGGTGAATTAGCAGTAGTGCTAACTTTCATATTTATCCATTGGTGAATTATCAAGTTATCCACTGATAACTTGAAGCACTATAGCCAGAACTTTGGCTGCTCTGTAAACTGATAAAGGGGAGCCCATTGCTTTTCTTGCTTCCATTTCTTTAGTGCTCACTTCCTCCTAAGCCTATAGGAATGTGAATAGATGACTAGAAGTTTCAGCATTTCATTTTTACCATACAGTTATTACAGAAGTCAAGATGGTTTAGCCTGATTGCTGATCAAGTGAGAATCCCCTTGCTCTGGATGTATCATCTGACCAACACTCTTTTGAAAGCTTTTGCCTTGATATGGTTGCCACTAGCTTCTATGTTCGCATGATCTGGATTTTCTGAAATCTCTAGCTTATTCATACAGATATGCCAGGAGTTCTGAGACTGATGAGAAGGTAAGATAGGATTCCTTTGAAGTTAGCCATTAAATAGTACAATCTAAAGAAGAACTTTAAAATTGTATTGAACTCATTGGCTATAACTGAAACATCTTTTGGAATTTCTTGAATATGTTTTAATAGGCCTTAGGTAGTTTTTTGAACTGCTTAAATTCATAATGTTAATACATGTATTATACAATAGTGGTGACCATTTTTGGTTCTAGAGAAGCAATGGAAACTAGGGCCTTATTTTTCTCTCTTTGCAGCATATGCAGTATGGTGCCATGTACACTGGGGTTATTCAATAAATATTGCCAGCACTGACATCTAACATGTGCTATCTATGTCCTTCTGTTATACATGGTGAGAATGTATAACACTTGGAGTAGTTTCTTCTCTTCTTTCCCTGACATTACCTGTCAGAATCTCATCTCCCTACTTTGACTTTACTGACCAGTAGGGATGCTTCTTTGCCTAATTTTTGCATGTATTTACATTTAGAATTTGGCCATCATTTTCATATAATTTTGATATTCCCATTTCCTAATTTGGGAACATTTGTATCAGTGGTACTGCTAAGCTGAGGAAGCTTTGTAGATTTAAAAAAAAAAAATGAAGGGAGACAACAGGTTTTTATGCAGATACATCACGAAGTATGAAATAAACCTATGAGACAACCAGATATTTGAATTTTCATGTATGGCCAGGGTATTAAAGTTATTTTCAGGTTTGTGGTTGTATTGTCACGATCTTCAGTCAGAAAGGGTAGTTTCAATGTGCTGTCTTTAGACTGAGGGTCAGCATGCTTTTTCTATATGGGGCCAGACAATAATTGTGTTCTGTTTCGTGGGCCCCATGGTCTGCATCTCAGCCATTCAGCATCACCATTATAACACCAAAGTGACTACAGGTAGTACGTAAACAAAGGGTCATGGTTGTGTTTCAATAAAACTTTATTTATAAAAACAGATTGTGGATGGATTTGGTCCGTGCGCTGTCATTGATACACTGCTATTTTTAGACGTCGTTTTAATTTTAAAAATCAACTCTTTTTAAAAAAAAAATGATTTCAGATATATTATGTAACTTAGTAATTTTTAAGATAAAATGTCTATTAATGCTGAAAGTGAGATTTTAAAATTAACTGTAAGTAGACCAATAGATGAGTAGTTACAGTTGGTAGCCATAATTAGAATTGCTTTGAGAATAAAAAGTGAGGGTAAGGGTACAGGAGAAAGCCTGAAAGTGATCCTCATCATGTTATATATGAAGTGATATTTTAAAATTGTTCCCAACTAGCCCATTCTCTCCTTTTAATTTAAATTGCCCTCATTTTTAAAGCTTCCACTGGAAAGTGGCCATTGAAGAGTAATGTTTTTAAACAAAATTTAGTCTGAGTCAAAAATCATGTTCCAATTGGTATCGGTATAAAAATATAATATTAACTCCTATAAATGTCACATTGAATGTACCATTTGGACTCAGCTTAGGAGAAAAGTTAAGAAAGCTTGGCGTTTAATATTAGAATTTTAAAGAGGATTTATCTTTCAGAGTGGAATAGGCTACTTAAAATGAAATTGTCAGGCTCCAACCATCTCATTATACTCATTAAATTCCACAGCTTGAGCCCTTCTTTCAGCAGTTTGGTTCACCCGTTAAATGAAACCTGAGCCTCTTTTTCTCAGACCAGCCCTCAGTGTGATCACTTCAGCAGTGCTGTACGAAGCATTCATTATTACCTATAACATCTGAATCATGGCAGTGAAATTTATAAATATGTTTAAAATTCAGCCTAAATAAAAGAGGACTTAAAGATAGAAACCCAGACAGAATAACCTTTTAAAAAGTAATACTTGGGTATTTTCTGAAGAAACCCAGTAAGTCGAGTAACATTAAGCTGATTGTCTAGATTCCAGGCTATTGGTTACTGGTCTACAGAGTTCTCCGAGCTCCTTGGGTTGCTTTTTCCCTTAGTATAGTCAGTGTGTTAAAAGAAAAGTAATGCCTTTCTATGTTACAGAGCCATGGTTATCTAAGTTATATTAGATTAAGAAGCAGAAAATTTGATCAATAGACTATTATTCATTCCATTTTAGGAACCCTAGTATATGACAAAGCACAAATAATACTACAATAGGAAGTAAGTAAGCATTTAACAAATGTTGTTGGTTTGGGTAGATAACAATATTTAAAAAGAGGTAACTGTGACCAGTGTCTTGCAACTTACATAAAATAACCCGAAGAAGATAGTTATGTATTTATCACAATAAATATGGGCTGTCTATGTTAAGCTCTTATATAGCTGTTAAAGCAGCTCTTTAGCTGTTAAAGCAATGAAAGCTATCACTGGTGATGAGAGATATATTAAACGATTTTTTCAAACTTTTATGTCTTAAAATGAAATCAAATAAACATTAAAAAAAGCACTGGAATGTGGAGAAGGGATGTAATAAGCATTATTGATAAAGCTTCTTGCACTTTTTTCAGAAATAAACATAAAATGTTCAAAAGAGATGAAGGGCTTATGCATAAAGAAATGCAGAGAGTAGATCATCTTATATAAAAACACACAGTCTCTCTGACAATTTAAAAGCAAATGAAATGCTATAGAATCATTATGTATTTTTTAAGGTGTTAAAAACCCAAATGACTGAAGCCAGTGTCAGAGCCATAAGGCTGCATGCCTAGCTGGTGACACTTTGTAAAAAGAGAATGGTATGATTGTTTGTTTGTTTTCTGACCAACATTCTAATAATATGCAATTCTCTCTAAACCTTTTTGTCCTTTTCTATCCCGTAATCCCCAATGAAAGACCCCAAGGCAAGCAAAATTTTTGTCTTGAGGGCCTAATTGTTCATTTTTCATAAGTATCTGACATTTATTGAATGTTTCCTGTGGATCTGGCATTATGCTAAGCTCATGATGTAAGGACCATACACAACAAGTCCATGTGTGAGAGCGACTGTTATATCCACAACAGAACTGAGGAAGCAGGCACAGTGAGGTTAAGCAGCCTGCCCGAGGTCACCCAGCTAACAGGAAGTGACCTGACGTTCAAGCCAGGTCTGTCTGACTCCAGTCATTACCCAAGTGCTGACCTCTAAGCCCTGTACAGGGCTAATGATAAAAACCGAAACAAAAAAAAAATTATGAAAGCAGAAAGATGAAACATCTAATGAGACTATCTTAAAACTGTGGCATATGAACATGCCAGAATGCTATGTTGTTATTTCAAATGCTGGATTGTATAGATTCTGTGGAGAGATGTGTGTATTTGAAGTGATGCTAGACAGAAAAACAACACACAATTGTTTACACACACTAGCTGTAACTATGGAAAATATGAGTATATTCATGGGGCAAGCAGCTGAGTATAAAGAATAAGCAGGAAGGCTCTGGGGTTAGAGACTGCCTGAGTTCACACTCCAACTTTGTTGTTAACCAGTTGTTTTACTGTGGGCAAGTTGTTTGATGTCTCTGTGACTCAGTTTCCTTATTAGTAAAATGGGGCTAATAATAAATAAGAGTGGTTGTGAGGATTAGATGTGCTGATAGGTTATAAAGTCTTCAGAACAGCACTGGCAGTACCTGAACATTCATGGCTATTCTTATTTTCATAACTAATACATTTTGGAAGTAAATTCAAGCGATGGAAATTATAGAATTGAATGTGCATTGGGTTATTTTCACCATAAAGTTGCTTGCTCAGTCACTCAGTTGTGTCCGACTCTTTGCGAATCCATGGATGGTAGCCCTCCAGGTTCCTCTGTCCATGGGATTTCCCAAGCAAGGATGCTGGAGTGGGTTGCCATTTCCTCCTGCAGGGGATGTTCCCGATGCAAGGACTGAACCTCTGCCTCTTGCATCTCCTGCATTGGCAGGCAGATTCTTGAAGTTGCTTAAATTTATAGTTTTAAGTGGTGTGTGTGTGTGTGTGTGTGTGTGTGTGTGAGTGAGTAAGTGAGCAAGAGCATGAGAGAGCAAGAAGTCAGCCTAGTTACTCAATAAAGAAGAGAAGTGAGAGAGATTAGGGTATTGAGTACCTCAATGGAACATCAGTCTTGGGCAGATTTGCCTTCCCCATAAACAATTGCAAATGGAGACTCTTGGGCCCCTTTCCCCTCAGGCCAATATTTTGTCTCCCTGCAAGGATACTTTCAAGGGTTGTTTGGAGCTATTGCCACCAAACCCAGCTGAACTCACACAGAATTCAGCTCAGGCCTTTGCACAGGTGATGTTGGGGTAGGAAAGAAGACATTGGACGCTGGATTGTCCAGCCTCCCACCAGACTCTGTTCCCTTCCCCCAGACCTTTGAATAATTACAGCTTATGCCTTTTATTCAGTAGAGGATTTTGAAGGATGACCCAGATTTTCTACAGTAGAACAACCAGTCAGAAATAGAGTAAATAAATGTCTTGTGTCTGCCTTACCCCAAGCTCTCTCCCAGAGTTGGTGGAGTGATCATGTTGTGCATTTCCTTCTTTCCTTCTGGCCCTAACAGCTACAGCCGCTCCAAGTGTAAGAGAGCTGAGCTTAACCTCTCAGCTTAAGAAGCTGCAAGAGACCATTGCACAGAGAGCAAAGTTAGAAATTGGGGATATTATCCGGGTCAGAGGCCACATCCGCATTTTCAGAGGAGAGCGAGAGATTCATGCCACGACTTATTGTAAGCATACAGTGTCTTTGCCTAGTTGCTTGTTATTTTGTGTGTGTGTCTAGTAAGCTCATTTAATAAAAAAGTCAAACTTCTGAAAAGTTCAAATACAAAGCTTTAATGAGAAAAAACTGTATTTGCAACATGATTTCTTTAGAAAAGCAGTGTTTATTTATTTTGAAGAGAAGTAACTTTAAGTAAATTGGGAAAGAAAATAAGTGATTTATCGTATATGGCTGACATTTTATTTGGACAACATAGTAGAGTCTCTAAAATACTTTGAAGTTCTTAGTGTGAATTCATTTAGGGAAGAGCGTTCATAATCTTCAAAATGATGGGAGATTTCTTGAGCACCACTGAGAAATTCAGCTAATCGGAAGCATGACAGTCCTCTGTCATCAGGGCCATGCCCATTGCACCGATCTGGCTGGTTTGCACTTGGAACTCTCAAGGACAGCCCCAGTTATCCACCACTGTACCAGATGCATGAATACGTCTGTATGCTTTCCCTCACCTTGGTCTACTCTGGTCACGTCTGTGACACTCAGGGCATCACCTCCCCTTTCATGGGATGGCCGGAGACCATTTAGTGCTTCTAGACCGTGTGATCCTGGGCATCCGTAAGGAAGAAGGCCCACCAAGGGCCCCATTTACTGTTGCCCCAGCAGCAGTCTAGACTTGGGAAAGAACTAATCTCAGTGTTGTTTCCATGGCTTGTTAGATAAAGTGGATGACCCAGTATGCAACATTCAGATCGCAAGGATGCTGGAGCTGCCTCCCATCTACAGGAAAGTGTATGACCAGCGCTTCCACAGCCCTGCCCTAAAGGAAGAAGAGGCACTGAGGCAAGTTATGGACTGCAACTGCTGGGGGTGTGGGCCAGCCAGTGGCATCCCAGATGCTGGGGTAGGCCTGAGCCGTCCACTCCCTCCCTGTGGGGCTCCGGGCAAGTCTGTCACCCTCCAGATGCCTCCATGTCCTCATCTGTAACATGAAGGAGGTAACAGTGCAGATGCTCTGAGGTGGCGGGAAAATATATGTGTAATTGGAGTCTCTGAAGGAGTGGAGTGGGGAGCAGAGAAAAAATGTTTGAAAAATTCACGGATGAAAATTTTCCAAGTCTGATAAGAACTGAACACTCACAGATGATCCAAGAAGGCCCATGAACCCCAAGAAATCTGAAGAAAACTGCACCAAGGCTCACTGTGATCAAGGAAACAATACCTCAGCCAGAGAGGAGTTTATTCTCTTTGAGGGAGGGAAAAGTAAACAGTAGGAGTAAGAATATATGTATGTTTGTAACTCTATGCCTCAAAGAACTCAGAGGAGACAGAAATAGTCATAGTGGCTGCTGGGGATGGGTGGATGGGGCTGGGAGGAGGGTGGAAAGGAGACTCTTCACCATGTATCCTTTAATCTTATAAACATACTTATAGATTACATATTCCAAAAAATTACTTTTAAAAAATGCCCAAACTATAGACCTGTATAAACAGTGGAAGTTCTCCATTTTCCTGTCTCCCGCCTCAGTACCATTACCCAGAGGTTACCACTGTGCAGAGGCTGTGGCGTGTATCCTGTTAGACTTGTTTCTTCTGCGCACACACAAGCATGCATATCCACCTGCGTATGTTGCGGGTTGTCATTTGCTTCTTGACAAAAATGGCACTGTCCTTCACATACCATTCTGCAGCTTGATTTTTTTTCTAAATCAGTCATGAATATCAGTTCCCATAGTTCTGCCTCATACTTTTAAACAACTGTGCAGTGTTCACTGGGTGCATTGCCCCTTACATGAAAAACACACCCTGATAACACTTCACTTGCTCGCCATTTGTGTGTGCATGCTCAGTCGCATCCAACTCTTTGCAAACCTCTGGACTGTAGCTTGCTAGGCTCCTCCGTCCATGGGATTCTCCAGGCAGGAATCCTGGAGTGGGTTGCCATTTCCTTCTCCAGGGCATCTTCCCAACCCAGGGATCAAGCCCACGTCTCCTCCAGTGGTAGGGGGATTCTTTACCACTGTGCCACTTGGGGATCCCATTTCAGGTTCAGGCACGTTCAAAAGGAACAAACGTAATATTAATAGTTTTCTGCAAGTCTTGTTGAAACTCCCCCAGCAGCAATCCTGGCACCCTGGACCTTGACAGCCTCACGTGTCTGCTGAGTGAAAAGGCCAAAGAGTTCCTTGTGGAGAACAGAGTGCAGACCTTTTACCAGCAGGAGTTGGAAACTGTGGAGTCCCTTCTGTCCCTTGCCAACCAGCCTGTGATTCACAGCGCCTACTCTGGGCAAGTAAGTGCGGCATGCCCGTGTGAGAAATCAAGGCCCTTGCCCCAGATCTGCAGCTGGAGAGTGTGGGTAGACATGACTGTGGCATTAAGACTCATGGAGTATACTCAGAGTGTAGAGGTTATGTTGATTCTGTTCTGGAAAGGTCACTGACCACTGAGAATTTGAAAGGAGAATGGACGTGCCCTTTTCCCCTCCTTAATCTCATGAAGCTTAATCTTTGGGTAGAAAAAAAAAATAGTCTAAGGTTCATAGTACTTTGTATTCACTGAGATGGGCATTTAATTTCAGCTGGAGCCAAAGAAGGGGGAAATAGATGAGAAGAACTGATTATTCTTGCAAAATTATTTTTTGAACAGCAAGATGATTCTTGAACTTCAACGAAGGTTTTTAATGACTTGCTTTCTCTTCTCCATAATAAGGTTAGCTTGTCCTGTGTTAGGTGTTTGAATAAAGAACAAGTTGTATTCAGTCCGGTTTATAAACAAAAATTTTAAGGAACACTCAAATAATTTTTTATTCGTCCTAGAAACAGCTATCCCCGTTTTTTCACCCATAGTGTTAGAGGTGAACTTAAGTTGTTTCATCTTTACTTATTGGCCTGGAATTAAAAATTATCTGAGACTTTGGTTTTAGGCTTTCCCTTTCAGCACAATTCCTCAGTTTTTTCGTTGTTGTAACATGACTTGTATTCAAGCAGAGAATGATCTCTGCTTGAATGTCACCTTCTTGCCCTCCCTGACCTTCTCCTCTAACAGTCATCAACTTCCTCACTATGTTATCACCCTGTTTCCACATCTCTTGATAACACTGGTATTTATTTGTTTGGCTGCCTATTGCTTCACCAGAATTTAAGTTCTCTAAAAGTAGAGGCTTTGTCTGTCTCTTTCTTTGCTGTCTAGAATGGGGCCTGGAACAGAGCTGGCATAAAGTATGTTCTCCACAGTTATTTGTTGATAGAAAGAATGAATGATTTTAAAAATTCAGGTAGCCCAGGAATTAATTCCCTGGCAGTCCAATGGTTAGGGCTTGGAGCTTTTGCTGCCGAGTGCCCAGGTTCAATCCCTGGTTGAGAAGCCAGGATCCCACAAGCCTCGCTGCATAGCCAAAAAAATAAAAGGAAACAAGCAACAAAAATAAATTAAATAAAATAGAAAATAAAAATTCAAATAGTCCCTGAAAGTATCTAGTTTTCCCATCCTCCCTCCTCCTCCCCTTTCTCTAGAGACAAGTGCCACTACTAGTCTCATGAATATCCTTCTGCAGATAATCTGCACATATAAATTAAAAGTAGTTGTATCCTCTCTTTTACACAAACGGTATCCTACTAAACACTATATCTATGTAGCTTTTTATTGTGTGTATGTCTTATAGGTCCTTTTCCCAGCCATATGAACATATTTGCCACTCCATAATAATCTTTTACTATGTGTACCATAATTTTCTTAAGGGGTCTGGCCATTCCTTGACTGTTCAAGGATTTCTAGTCTTTTGTCATTAGCAGCAGGGCTGGCATGATAACCCTTGCGAGGTAACATGATTATTCTTCAGCATTCCGATGGAGGGCTTCCCTGGTGCTTCAGTGGTAAAGAATCTGCCTGCCAATGCAGGAGACGTGGGTTCAGTCCCTGGGTCCGGAGGATCCCCTGGAAAAGGAGATGACAACCCACTCCAGTATTCTTGCCTGGGAAATCGCACGGACAGAGGAGACTGGCGGGCTACAGTCCATGGGGTTGCAAAGGGTCAGACACGACTGAGTGAGTAAACATCAACGGCATTCTGGTGGAACAGATACCAAGTCCCCATCCCCACCTTCTGAGTGTGACCACTGCTTCTCAGTTTCATTCGGGAACCTAATTATCTCTTCCCGGCACCAGGCCATGTGCCCGGTGACCTACCGGTTCATACACGGAGATGAGGGATACCGTTTCAGGAAACCCCAAGGTGGTCTGGGTCAGGACTGGCTGCTTTGTTCTGCACCACTGTGGCTTCTGCACAGGGCTAGCTCCCCAGCTGTCCACTGACAGCACAAGTGACCTTCCTCCCACTTAATCATTTAGAGGAGGCTCAGTGCCAACTTGGCCTCCCAGGACTTCTGACCACTCTCTTGGCATGTTTAGAAGGAAACTTTGAAGCTTAGCAAAGACCACATTCTTCCTGTGAGCCGGCTCTTCTGCGAGAATTAAATAGGGAGAAATGAGAACTAGAAAGCCCCTCCGTTCAGAACATTCCAAAGGGGACTTTGGGCATGATTATCTTTTTGTAAATGTTCAGAGCAGAAATCCATGCCTGCCCAGTGCTGTATGTTTAAAAAGCAATGAATATGGTGCTATATCTATTTTGTCTCTGGAAGCTATTTTTCCATCAATTATGAATTATTCTCTCACATGGCTCTGGTTGGGGAGGTCAGTGTCATTACATTGAATTCTGTTTAATAGAGCCTGGGAGACCTAAAACACTTCACAATGACGGTGAAACCCTAGATCCTTTGGCACTTTTTGTAGTCATACAGATGAAAGCTTAACAACAACAAGCAATCATTGTGATCATGTTATACTTGAGAAGGTGGGGAGAGTGGGTTTGATTGTTTGCCTCCTTTCTTTTTTTTCCACGGTGGCCCATCTTAGCACATCCAGAAACATGATAAGCAAACTGGCAAAACCATTGTTTCTTTGACAGCTGGATAAATGTTGAGTTCGTTTGGGAATGAAGACTATATATATACTTCAGAGATCCACCCAGTTCCTGACCTGCCACGAGGAGAGGCCTGCAGAGGCTCAGCCCGTTCAGCCAGTCACTGTTTTTGTTTCTGAGCAGTTTCGGTTTCCTGAATAAGATGAGTCTGTCACTGCTCTTTAGAAAAAGACAAGAAAGACACACCTCTCAGGCCAGGGAAACCTGCTAGCTACAAGGACCGCTGGGGGTTTTATCCTCAGGACCATGTCTTTACAACCAGCAGGGAATTACGTCCCAAGGTCAGCTGAGGCAAGTGTTTCTGGAAAGGAAGCTTCACACATTGTTGATATTTACGGGAGCCTTTTCTGCTGGGCCCACCTGGTTCATAGCTGAAACTGCTGTTACAGTCCCAGGCCTCACACCCTCCCTTCCTGCTGCTCCGTCTCACTGAACTTGGGGAGGAGGAACCCGGCTTCCTGTATAGGCTGGGGATAATCAGCAGTCATTTTCAATGACAGGAATAACCACGTAAAAGCGTTTCTAGTCAGTTTCCAATTTACTTCTACATTGGTAAGAGATGGAATAAACTCAGCCCTTAGGATCTTTCTATTAAAGGTGAATCACCTTAGAATTATGAAGTAGTTGTATAGAGTTGTGGTCGGGGAGCCTGTGTTGCGTCGATCATTCCTTTTCCTAAGTGAGAGCACTCATGTATGAAATTAGAAATAGCTCTCCCCCGGCTCCCCCCCTGAATAAAAAGGCACGTGGCTGAGGATGGCTGGATGAGGTGTTTATTCTAAACACACCCAGATAGCTTTTCTGCCTGTGGGAGTCATCAAGTATTTCTCAACCTTATTCTCCCTTCAGAGAATGGATGCTGTCATAACCTGGAATGCTTGTCAACTCTCAGACCCAGGTTCTAATGCCCAGGTTCCCCAGGTCTGTTCTGTTGAGGGGGAAAAACCTTGACTCTGAATATAATGAAGAAAGTTAGACTCTTCTCTTCAGCCCAGAAGAGCACGTCGCCAGGATCTATTAAATTCAGACTATGCTGTCTGGGAGGCCTCTCCTAGGAAGCAAAGGTTTCTTTCAGGATGGAATTGTCAATACTGGAGGCCATGTGGGGGTGCATTTTCTCTTACCTGTCACTTTGAGGGAACATTATAGAAAATCTGAGGTGCACTTTCTGTTTCAGCATCTGTGGATGCTGTCCAGACAGCCTCATAAGGTCCTCCCATTAGAGAGGCAGGACCTTGGCTTCACTTTGCCATGTTTTTCTTTTTTTAGGCTCTCTGATCTTTTTAATATCTTTACAGATTTCTCTCAGATTAAAGATGGATCTGGGGACTTCCCTGGTGGTCCAGTGGTTAAGACTTTGCCTTCCAGTGTGGAGGGTGTAGGTTTGATCCCTGGTGGAGAAGCTAGGATCCCACATGCCTCCTGGCCAAAAAACCAAAACTGTAACATTGTAACAAATTCAATAAAAACTTTTTAAAGAAATGGTCATGTCTTAAAAAAAAAAATGGGTATGTACCTTGAAGGACAGTTATTACTCACCACTTCCTTTGTTTTAGGAAGGAACTGAAAATCCCTAATGGAATAGTTAGAAAGCTACTTCCTATCTCTACAGGGTATTTCGTTCCACTGATGGCACATGCATTTTCTTGGTCACCCACTGTGTGTCAGGGAGCAGGTGGCCTAGATGAAGCACAAAGTCCCCAATTCAAGAAGCACACAATCTGATTAACCATGGTGGGACATGGTGGAAAACGTGGCTCCCTTGAAATAAGAAGTGGGGTGACCTGGTAACCTCTGTAGGCACGCTTAGAGAAGGGAAGGGATACCGAAGTTGAGGAGAGAGCGACCTCTTAGCAGCAGAGCATCCCTTGTTGTGCCTCTCTTGCTTCCCCCAGGGCCCTATCTGCCTTCAACCCATGGGCCCTCCCCTTTGATAGGTCTCTGCACAGCTGTTTGCCTTCACTGTCCTCTATTTAAAATAAGGAGTCTATTTAATACTCTCTATGTGTTGAAATCCCTCACCTATTTCAATGTGTATAAAATTCTTTGATGTCCTTAGGAAGAAGTTGCATTATTATTGTTCAGTCTCTAAGTTGTGTCCAACTCTTTGCGACCCCATGAACTGCAGCACACCAGGCTTCCCTGTCCTTAACTGTTTCCTGGAGTTTATTCAGACTCCTGTCTGTTGAGTCCGTGATGCCATCCAACCATCACATCCTCTGTCGTCCCCTCTTGCCCTCTATCTTTCCCAACATCAAGGTCTTTTCCAATGAGTCAGTTCTTTGCATCAGGTGGCCAAAGTATCAGAGCTTCAGCTGCAGCATCAGTCCTTCCAATGAATAGTCAGGGTTGATTTCCCTTATATGTATGTGTGTGTGTGTGTGTATATATATATGTATATGTATATATTCACATACATGTGTATATTATATATATATACATGTATATATATGTGGAAATCTGATTTTTTTTTATATAGAACCAAAGATTCTATACATATTGGCTCACTTTTTTTGATTAAAATTGTGGCCATATATAAATTTGATTATTTACAAATTTTAATATTATAAATAAATTATTAAAGTATTTAATATTGGCCATATTAAAATTGATAAAACAATTTTAATCAAAGAAGTAAGCCAGTATGTATAGAATCTTTCGTTCTGCATAAAAAAAATAAAGATTTTCATCTTAATTTTTCTATTTCCTATCATTGAGTTAAATGAATTACATAAAAAACTAAGGGGTAGAATGGTCATCAAGTGTGATTCTGCCAGAGCAGACTTCCCAGCCCTCCTTAAATACCATCCTGCTAGGCCCGTGCATACCTGAATCTTTCTGACTACACCATAAAAAGCCTGTTGGGTGAATTTATAACCAGTTGGTCTAGGGAGTTGCCCTCAACTGCTATAGGATGGGACTGACTTCTTTCCCTCTTTTTTTCTTTTTTTCCTTCCTACAGACGGGTTTTAAGAATGACACCACTTCCAGAGCCATTCACAGCATATTTAGGAACGCTGTAAAGCTGCTGCAGGAAAAAGGACTCGTTTTCCAGAAAGATGGTGGTTTTGATAACCTATTCTATGTAAGAGACCCGCAACTTAACATTTTTTCCCCTTAGCTTCCATTTGCAGATATCTGTATTACTTAGGAATACTTATTTGCTGCTTTTAAAAGTCACTCATTAAGGAGGTACATAAAGCAAGGAGTGGAAGCTGGCCTTTGTCTTTCCTCTGGTATCATTTTTAGCAGTACATTCTTCTGCACGCTTATAAATATATGCTTCTGTTATCAAAAAAAGTATGTGATCATCCTCTAAATCAGGGTTTCTCAACTTCAGTTGTTTGGGCCAGTTGATTCTCTGTTGTGGGGGGCTGTCCTCTGTATTGTAGAGTGTTTGGCAATATCCTTGGTCTTCACCCACTTGACAGTGGTAGCAGCACCCCCAGTTGTGGCAACCTTAATGTCTCCAGACATTGCCAAGTATCTCCTGGGACAGTGGGGAACCACTACTCTAAATAACACTCTGTAAGTGTTTTGGATACCAGAATAGCACATCCCAGGCCTCTTTCCTTAGTCCTTGTAAGTCCACCTCATTCTTTTTGACATCTGTATGGTATTCTATAGTACGGGAACTTGCCATCAATTATTTAACCCCTTCTCTCTGATGGACATTTATTTTGTTTCCATCTTTTGTTCTCAAGTACACTGCTGCTATGTCAGTCTTTTTGTGGACTTATGTAACTATTTCTGTGAGATTGACTCTTAAAAGAGGAATGGTTAGAGCAAAGGGCATGTACCTTTAAGGTTTGGGTCAATACAATCTGCTTGGCTCCGCCAAAGATGGTAACAATTACCATTCCCTCCAGGGATACAAGTGCTTGCCTGCCTCAGTGAGTGAAAGTCGCTCAGTCATGTCAGACTCTTTGCGACTCCATGGACTGTAGCCTGCCAGGCTCCTCCATCCATGGGATTTTCCAGGCAAGAATACTGGAGTGGGTTGCCATTTCCTTCAGACTTTGAGTTAAAATTTACCTCCCACTGCCTGAGTTTAATACTGAAGGAACATAGTTGGCAGTGATATCCATGTCCACGTCAGTAGCATAGATGTGGCTCCAGCAGCATGTGATTCTTCTGAAGACAGAGCAGAACCCTGAGGACACCCAGGAGCCTCACTCTCTATAGCGTGATTCCTGAGGGGAAGCCTTCCTTAATAGGATATTTTCTTGATGTTGATTTACTCTAGTGATTCCCCTGTTTTAGAAAGTTTTTAAAAATTAAGGTATGTTTTAAATACTATTTCAGTAACTTTGGAAAGGGTATTCCGTTCTGCATAAGAGTGGGCAGGCGATTGAGGGGTTCAGGGAAGTTGATTTCCTCTTGTGGGGCAGCTCACCCTAACAGCCCCCACCCCCACTGTCGCATTCTCCCATGAGGCTCTGCGTGGCCTCCTGGGTTGGTAGGAAGCAGCTCTTCCTGAGGAACAGCAGACGTGGGCGGCCATCCAGTGCTGAGGTGTGGCAGGGCTGGGGCACTTCCTCCTGTGAATCAGTCTGAGCTGGAGTGAGGTGATCCAGCTATAATAGCTATATTTTCCTCAGCAGAACCACCCCACTTCGCTGACTTCACTCCCTGCCCCCTACCTCAACCCTGGCCCTAGGTTTCTGTTTTTCTGAGGGCATCGCCCCAGGGGCATCATTATCTTCTGTCTGTCTAGTGCTTTCCAGCTTTCAGCAGCTCTTCCACATTGCCTTAATCTTCCCAGCAACCCCATGAGTCCACAGATGGGTCCTTGTCAGTATCGCCATCTTAAATCTGATCATTCCACATCCATCGGCCCAGGGTGCATTCCTGACATATGTGTTTGTCCACTTACTTCTTTCTTTTTTTCCTTCCATTCTTCCTTTTTTCTCTCTCTCTCTTTCTTCCTCTTTTCCTTTCTTTATTCCTCTTTATTCCTTTCTCTTTTTTTTTTGTCTTTAGATTTATGGTGGCTGTTTCCCTGTTACCTGAGCTAGCTGAGAAAGGAACCCAGGTTATATTTGCCTTTGAGAACACACAGTGTTTCCGTTTATAGACTAGACTTATTCTCTTGCTAGCTTTTCCTTACAGTTTTATTTCTTTTGTTTTTCCTATGGTTGGGTGAAGGAACGTGAAACCCAAGAAGAAACACAAGAGGAAAGAGTCCTGGGATTTGATCACTGTGCCTCCCTCAAAAATATAACAAATAAGAGATTTTATGAATGTGTTATAAATATTTAAGAAGAAAGTTTCTCCTCAAAAGCAAGGGATTCCATATTTTCTTTCCATCCTGGCCCCAGTGAACCACCTCCCATGGGAATATGCCTGTGGGTCACACACAGAGCAGTAAGCTGCTTGGGGATAGAACTGACGTGACAACAGGCCAGATTTCGAAAACCACGCTCATTGATGGCGAATGAATGAGGGCTGTTATGAAATCTTTAGGAGCTACCCTAAATACTAATTTGGGAGTGTAGGTGACATAGCCTCTCTGTCACTTAACCTTTCTCTCCAGACTCTCTTTTCCTGTTTAGGTAACGAGAGAAAACAAAGAATTGCACAGAAAGATCCACCGGATCATTCAAGAGGAATGCCAGAAACCAAATCGTAAGTGGTGTAATATCCATGTATCCCAGTGTCTTGGAAGGGGAAATGTTCCCTCCTAGAGAGCACTGGACAGAGGGTCAGGAAACCTATGGCTTTTCCCAGTAACAGCTTGGAGGCATGACTGGTTCAGACACCTGCCTTCTCGGCACCTCAGGTTCCTCCTGGCTCAAGTGAGTGTTAGCCTCGCATGGTTGTTCTGACCTGGGCCACATCTAAGAGTCAGCCTTGGAGCTTTTATGAACATACCAGGCTCAGGTCCCAGCCCTACGGATTCTGATTCACTCGGGGCTGGGATGAGGGCTAGACAGTCACTCCTCAGGGGATTCTGATGCAGCGAGGTAAGTCGTCAGGCTAGGAGTTTTTGACGTCTTTCTGGTGTCATAGTCTCTTGTGTGCATGCTAAGTTGCTTCAGTCGTGTCCGACTCTTTGCAAACCTATGGACTATAGCCTGCCAAACTCCTCTGTTCATGGGCTTCTCCAGGCAAGAATAATGGAGTGGGTTGCCATGTACTCCTCCAGGGGATCTTCCCGGCCCAGGGGTTGAACCCACATCTCTTATGTCTTCTGCATTGGCAGGCGGGTTCTTTACCACTAGCACCACCAAACTTGTGTTATTTCTTGTTCCACTCTGACTTCTTGTCTCTAAACCCAAACCTGACATTTTCCTCTCTCCTACCACCAAGCCCTTCAGTGTTGGGAGGAGTGGTTCTAGACATTCAGTTCAGTTCAGTAGCTCAGTTGTGTCCGACTCTTTGCAACCCCATGAATCGCAGCACACCAGGCCTCCCTCTCCATCACCAACTCCCGGAGTCTACCCAAACCCATGCCCATCGAGTCGGTGATGCCATCCAGCCATCTCATCCTCTGTCGTCCCCTTCTCCTCTTGCCCCGAATCCCTCCCAGCATCAGGGTCTTTTCCAATGGGTCAACTCTTCGCATGAGGTGGCCAAAGTACTGGAGTTTACAGTTTGTGAAGAGTGTAATTCAGTCATCTAGAAGCCTGATAATTTGCAAGAGAAATGGTTTTGCAAGAGTTGGTTTTAGTGGAGTTAGGTCAACCCCTAGTGGTTAGAAACTCAAATTGTAGATAGTCTGACAACAGACATTGCCATTTTCACACTAGTTAGAAATAAAGCATTTGTCTTATCTTTAAATCCTGTGTAAACTGACCACTCTTAAAGGTGACTTTTCACAGTCTACCTTTTGTAAACATATGCTAAGAACAAATGTCGGCATATGTCAACAAATGACGCCAGAAGAAGAGTAGAAAGACTGGTTAAGGAGCACAGGCAGGCCTCTTCCCTCTGCTTGCTTGCTTTCCAGAGAGGTCCAGCTCCTGTCCTTAAAGCCCATATATGCCTGAGACCTGGATCTTTTCCAGGCTGAGTCAGTGGGTGGAGCGGGACCAGGTCTCCAGTCCTGGTGGTGATGGTATGCAGCCCTGTTTAGCCTTTGAGGACCCATGAGGTCACCTCCCAGAGTGGTGTGATAACAGCTCTTAAAATAAACTGAAAGCAATCTATTATTTGATGCAAGGTTTCTTAACTATTGTTCACTTCATTCAGAACAAGAAGGAAAAGTATCCTTTAGTTGCATTGAAGGGAAACTGCCTGTCCACAACTGAAGAGCTTTTTAGAGAATGAAATGCACGATTCCTCCACCAAGAAGGATGAGAGGGGAGACTGCTTCCCAGGTGACATTCCTGCACTCATGCTAGCCCCAGGCTATCTGGCCAGATTCTTATTTTGATACATATTAGGAACAGGGAGGATGAAGGATTAGTAATCCTAGGGCCTGATAAAGCAAATGAAAGCAATTCACACTACCTTTCTTAGGAGAATCAAATAGCCTAATAGCCTCAGGGTGACCTGAGGGTCTATAAAGTGGCAGGTTTTATATCCACTTCTAATCCACAGGCCAGGTCCTGCTTTGGTGAGTGTGTCTGTCCAGGCTCTGCTAGTCAGTCTATAAAAGGGAGCCTTTAAAAATGATAAGCCAGTTCCCTGAAACTAGTGAATTCCCAGGAAACAAATTCTGGAGCATGGATAACAGGATGCCAACAAAAATATCATGTAGGGACTTAGAGACTGTGGCAACCACTCCTTTTCATAAGAAATACTTATGACATTAAAAAGTTATTCAGAATATTGTATGCATAAGGTAAAAAGTTAAAAAGTACAAAAACACACACAGAAAAGTCAGACTTCCTCCCAGCACCAAGCCTCAGGCTCTGTGTTTCCCTTTCCAAAGGAAGGGGATGTCCTTGGTTTCTGGTGTATCGTAGAGATGTCATATGCACTTATAAAACATATTTGTATAGTTATCCTTCCTAAAATGCCTAAATAAAGCTTAGCATATAATACTTAGTGTTCTATACATTGTATTTTAAATTTAGAGGTCATTTTAGAGGTCGTTCAGCAACAGTATGTGTATAAGTACCTGTCTTTTTAATAGCTGTCTTTATATTTCACTATATATAGATAGATATCTGACCATTTATTTAATCATAGCTATGAGAGTTGGATCATAAAGAAGGCTGAATGTCAAGGAATTGATGCTTTTGAACTGTGGTGTTGGAGAAGACTCTTGAAAGTCCATTGGACTGCAAGGAGTTCAAACCAGTCAATCCTAAAGGAAATCAGTCCTGAATATTCATTAGAAGGACTGATGCTAAAGCTGAAGCTCCAATATTTTGGCCACCTGATGTGAAGAGCCAACTCATTAGAAAAGGCCCTGATACTAGGAAATATTGAAGGCAGGAGGAGAAGGGGATGACAGAGGATGAGATAGTTGGATGGCATCACTGATTCAATGGATATGGGTTTGAGTAAGCTCTAGGAGATGGTGAAGGACAGGGAAGCCTGGAATACTGCAGTCCATGGGGTCACAAAGAGTCAGACATAACTGAGCAACTGAACAACAACTGAACCTTTCGTTCATTCCTGACCTTTCAAACAAAACAAAGAATTGAGTTTTCCTTGACAGGATGATTGATAGGAGAACTTAAAATCTTTACAGTCACTTATGAGGTCGCAAAGAGTCAGACACGACTGAGCACTGAGCTGAACTGATGAGTATTTCAGCAAAGGGTAAACCTACAATAACGATAGGATCATAAACATGGGCCAGTTTTAGGTCCCTAAGGCACTGGTACTAGGCTTGTCTAAAGACGGGCCGTGTGGCGTAGTTGTAAAGAGCGAACTATGAGAGCCACCTTACCTGGGTTTGAATCCCAGTTCTTCCACTTTGAAGCTATGTGGCCTTGGGTAAGTCTGTGGCTCAGTTTCTTTATATGAAAAAACAGATAATAATGGTACCTACATTGTGGATTGTTGTAAGGATGAAATAAACTGGTGTTTTATAAAACTCTCAGAAAGCTGTAAGAGTGAGAAACACCAGAAACCCTTTCCTCTGCTTAGACAGCAGTCCCATCTATCTGTTATAGCTATTTGGAACTCTCAAGTATCTATAAAAGCTGGCAGCTTCCAGAGGAAGGTTTGGACAGTAATTGGGGTTGCTTCCAGTCAGTATTCAAATCTTAGTAGCAGCTGCCCATCCCATACCTCCACCTGCATAGCAGGCAGCTGTGCATGTGTTTCTGGATCTAGGGTGGGCAGAAAGGGCCCAGTCCTCCACATGTCAGGGGTCTGTGCTCTGGCCACTCATTAGTGCTTCTGATCACAGAGGTGTGGACAGAGAGGTGGGTGGCCATTGTTGCACCTTCTCCCATTGCTGTGCCTGCCTCACCCAACAGGTGAGGTGACTTCCAAGGGATTTTAAAAAGACTGGCACCCTTTTTTAAAAAACCCCCTTCATTTCTCTGTTTTTTTTTTGCCGCTTTTGGAGCCAGAAAAGGAAGACTTAAGACATTCAAAATCAACTGCATATATGGGGAAAATTAGAAAGTGACCTCACATACCCAGGAAAAGGCACAGACTCAGAAATAGACCTGAGAAGACCTTAGGTTTCCATCTCAGGCTATTCTTGGCTCAGAGACAGCCTACAACAACCAAAAAAAATTAGAAACAATAACAAAAAAACAGCTAACACCAGGAAAGGGGAAAGAATCTAATCTCCAGAATTACCACATTATTAGATTCAAGTGTCCAGTTTTCAACTAAAAGTGAAAGATATACAAAGAGACAGGAAATTATGGCCCAATCAAAAGAGGTGGGGGGCGGAGCAACAGAAACTATCCCTGAAAAAGATCTGATGGCTTATCTATTACACAGAGGCTTTAAAACAGCTGTCTTAAAGATGCTCATGAAAATGATGGGTAAATAAAATGGAAAATATTGATCAAGAGAAAAACTAAAAAGAAATTCTGACAAGGACAGAAACTGAAAGGCAACATTTACTAATGATTCAAAGGCAGATTTGAACAGGAAGAAGAATCAACAGGGCTCTGAAGAAAAATGAACAGAACCTAAGGGACCCGTGGGACATCATCAAATGGACCAACGTATGTGTTATGGGAGTCTCAGAAGAAGAGAGCAGGGGCAGTTATACTGATACTAATATCAGACAAAATGGCCTTTAAATCAAAATGTTACAAGAAACAAAGAAGGATATTATATATTAATAAAAGGCTCGATAAAAAGACATAGCAATTTTAAATGTTATGTCCCTTGTGACTGACCATCAGAATATTACATGAAGCAAAAACTGACAGAATTGAAAGGAGAAATAAACAGTTCTACGATAATAGTTGGAGATGTCAGTACTCCACTCTCAACAGTGGATAGAAAAACTGGACAGAAGATAAGGGAACAGAGGCCTTAAATAACACAATAAGTCAGCCAAATCTAACCTGTGCACACAAAAGACTACCTGACAACAGCATACGTGTTCTTCTCACGTATACACGGGACCTTTCCCAGGATAGAACGTGTTAGACCGTCAGTAATTCTCAGTAGATTTTAAAAGATAGGTATCATACCAATCATCTTCTCTCTGACCGGTATCTTTTGAAGTTAGAAGACAATAACAGAAGTAAAGCTGAAAAATTTACAAATTTGTGAGAATTAAATAACACATTCTTAACCAATTGACCAAAGAAGAAATCACATGGGAAATTAGAAAATACTTAGAGATGAATGAAAACTAGAACACAACATAGCAAAACTTATGGGACACAGCAAAAGCTGGATATAAAGGGGAACTTTATAGCTAAGAACACTTACAAGGATTTACAATTAAGGAACTAAAAAAGAAGAACAAAGTAGCTCAAAGCTAATAGAAGGAAGGAAATAATAAAAATTAGAGCACAGATAAATAGAGAATAGAAAAACAATAGAGAAAATCAAGGAAACCAAAAATTGCTTCTTTGAAAAGATCATCAAAATTGCTAAACATTTAGCTGGGTGGACTAAGAAAAAAGAGAAAAAAGTCAGATTACTAAAATCAGAAATGAAAATGAGGACATTAATACTGATTCTACAGAAATAAAAAGGATTATAAAAAAGTATTGTAAACAACTATATGCCAACAAATTGTATAACCAGATGAAATGGACAAATTCCTAGAAACACAGAGCCTACCAAGACTTAATCATGAAGACATGGAAAATCTGAATAGATCTACAGTAAGGAGATTGAATCAGTAATAAATAATCTCCCAACAAAGAGAAGTTTGGACCTATTGGTTTCACCAGTAAATTGTAAACATTTAAAGAACTAACGCCAGTCCTTTTCCTCCTGTGACTAGAAGCTCCCTCTATGAATAGCCTTGCTGGACAACCCTCAGATGGCAGAATGGCCTTTGTGAAGAAGTCCTTTAAGACCTCTGGGGCAGTCAGCACTGCTGAACATCCATGCCTATAAGTCAGCTTGAGCCCTGAGCCTGAGCACCCAGGTCTTATAAAAACTAAGATTCCAAGCGAGCAGTGCTGGGATTCCCAGTGTTCCCTCTCTGCTGTGTGCAAACCTGTTTCTGCTTGGTGTTCTCTACCCACCATCATCAACTCTTCCTCTTGAGAAAAGTTGAAGCTTCTTTAGAGCACGGACTAGGTTTTGTGCATCTTCTTAGGTTATGAATATAACGATAAGTAAATTCTCCAAGGATTAAGCACCCACCGTGAGTCTCCTTTCACCAACACAACCAGAGGTGAAACAGGTGCTTTTCTTCCCATTTAATACATGAGGATGCGGGATGAGAACCATGGACCACTTAGCCCCAGTCATAGAGCCAGCACTTGAATTTGGGTCCTTTGGACTCCGGAGTCTGCTCTCCGTCTGCCCTCTGTACCTATTCCCGCTTGCTTAGTGCTGCACATGTATTAATAGTAGGTGTTCAGGAAATTTTGATCGAACAAATGTTGAAGAAACAGCTTGGAAATGTGGAGACCAAATGGAGTTTGCCAACAGTAACCCCGGTTGGCAGGAGTAATGAGTTGAGTAGCCACTAGAGGTCAGAATTAACAAGTCTTTGTTAGCCCACTACCTGTGATAGGCCCTGACGCTTACAGCTGGGAAGGACCTCAGAGGTGCCCCCACCTCCGGTCCCACTCCCTTTTGGTCAGAAAACCAGGCTTGAAGATGCAGTGACTTGCCCAAAGCCACAACCATGTTTTGCCCATCACCACAACGACTGAGTGACTGAACTGAACTGAACTGAACAACCCCTCCAGGACTTTGCTGGAGCCTAAAGCAATCTGTCGTCCGAAAACAATGTTCAGTGACTGTGCAGAGCACTGGTGGGCCAAGTGCTGGGCATATGTCAGTGAGAGACCTGACTGCTGAAAACTGGGGAGGGTTGGTTTCCAGGAATAAGGTTTGACTTTGACTCAGTGTTACACATAAGTTTTATGTCATGACCCAGTAAATTATATCATTTTATTATAAGTTTTACTTCAACTATATATATATATACACATATATAATTGAATATAAATTAATATTTATCCTACCTAAAATGCAGTACATTCTGTAATCTCATATTCTGGTCTGCTTCAGTCTGTTTGGTAAGAAAACAATGCTAATCACAACCCACTAAATTGATTTCATGATCCTCTTAGTGGTCGTAACGTCATTGATTTCTGTTAGGAAAGCAGTCACTCACCCTGAACTGTTACAAATGGTCTCATTTGTCCTGGTAGAGGGTGAGAAGTTCCTTGAACACAGCCACCATAGACAGACTGTTTGGAAGCTTAGGCAGAGAGGAGTGAGAAGAGGCCAGAGGTCACCATTGCAGTCCCATGGTCCAGGATTTGTGGAAGGAATAAGGAGACTGCTGCAGGCTGGCTCTGCTGTCCACCTCAGGAGGGCTCCCACCTGGGAAGTTCAGGGGTTAGCACTGAATATGTGCACCTGTACATGAGACTTCATGAGAGGAAAAGATGATCAAGCGCTAAGACCCCATGGGGTTCTGAGTATAAAATTACTGATTGGGAATCCTGGAAGGCTGAAGGCCTGTGTCCCCGGTCAGTGGTCCCTGGCACACACCTGAGAACAGGTGATTTAGTTTGTTGTCATCAGTAAGGTAGGCCAGTGCATCTCCTGCTTTAATGTGCACAGGAGTGATCGGGGCATGTTGGGAGGTCTTATGAAGCTGCGGGTTCTGATCCAGGAAAGAGAGAGAAGGACTTCTATGTAGAGGAAAGGACAGCAGGGAGAGAGGAGGGTCTGACAGGTGTGTCCAAGCTTTGCCAACTCCCTTTTTCCCACAGACATGGAGAAGGGCTGCCACTTCCTGCACATCCTGGCCTGTGCCCGCCTGAGCCTCAGCCCAGGCCTGAGTGAACCTGTGTTGCAGCAGGTGCTGCAGCTGCTGGAGGACCAGAGTGACATCGTCAGCACCATGGAGAAATACTACACGGCATTCTGAGCAGAGGCCGGCAGGCAGCACAGGCAGAACGGGGAGGAGGTAAACCAGCTGGCATTCACTCCCAAGCTCTGGTTTTAACATCGTGCCCAGGCTTATAGGTCTGGGGGCAATTATCTCATAACAAACTATGAAATCTGGTGATTTGAGGAATGGGAATTTGGCATAAATTCTGGAGGCTGCCTTCTACCTGCCGTCAGTTCAGTCACTCAGTTGTGTCCAACTCTCTGCGACCCCATGGACGGCAGCACGCCAGGCTTCCCTGTCCATGCAACTCCTGAAGCTTGCTCAAACTCCTGTCCATCGAGTCAGTGATGCCATCCAACGATCTCGTCCTCTGTCGTGCCCTTCTCCTGCCTTCAATCTTTCCCTGCATCAGGGTCTTTTCTAATGAGTCAGCTCTTCACATCTACCTGCTTTATCCTGGGATAAAATGACTTATCTCAGCCACAACATGCAAGAAAACCCTCCTCATTGGACTCTGGGCTGGACCGAGCATCACTCACAGAGCAGAAGAGGAAGAAACTGCTGATGGCTGGCCTGGTTGGAGGTTCTGCCATGGGAAGGGGCCTTCCATGGTACAGGCCCCTGGACTGCAGGAACAGAAGAGCATGCAGATCACCAGCTCAGATGCTTTTGAAAACTTCAGACTATCAGGTACTTTCTTGGCATCTGTTGGTGGTTAAGACCCTGGTGTAGGGGACTAGGTCTCCCTGGATGAGTGTTGCTGACCTATAATTTCTGTGGGTCAAACCCCAGCAGTGGGTCCAGCCTTGGGTTGAATTGTTTATAACGATGGGAATAAAACAGGATCTAAGGCATGGCTTTGTATTTGCCATTTTCCTTTTGTCCCTTCTGAATCACAAGGCATTTCAGTACACATCCCTGTGCTTGAGGACACTGTGACTAAATACAACACATTGTCTCCTAATACCCTGAAGTTCTCGGAGGCTGTCGGCCAATTACCTGGCAGTGATTGATGTTATTTTCAAGGTTACCATTGTACATGCAGAATGTCCTAACACCTTCCAAATGCTCGGTATGTGCCCAGACAGGTGATGGGGTCATGCTTTTGCTGGGAAAGACAGGTAAAGGGAAGAAATCTGGCTTATGGCATAGGCTTGTTCTAACAGCTCGATGACAAATCCAGCCAGCTAAAAGCAAGTGCAGGGAAAGATTTGGAGTTAATTACAGTCATTTCACAAAAGCATATCTGCCTTTGGCTGCTTCCTTAGAGCTTTCTTAGTAAGCTTTTAGCAGCTCTACTGGAGAGCCTGCAGGCCTGGTTTGTTGTTCTGCTCTGTGTGGAAACAGAGTGGTTTTACACTCAGAAGTTGCCTGTGGCTCCATGTGTGAGTCCTGGAGTGAGTCCTGACAGACGACTTCCTGTCTTGGACTTTTCTGACTTGACCCAAACCTCTGCCCGGTTTCTAGCAGTTATTACCCAGATAGGTGCCCTCTATTCAGAAGGGTTCCTGTAGAACAGGGTTTACCTGGAATGACACCCCAGTGGTTCCTCCTTGAGGTCAGCAGCTGTTCCATACTGAACACATCTCAGATTATTGGAGCTGCCAGGAAGGGGTCTTGAGTCGGAACATAAAAAGGACACATCCTTGCACACAACCACCCCGCTTCTAGGGGGGCTATAACCCCAGGGAGTGATCACAGAGGATGGAGAGAATGAATGTCCAGGGTGCCCACTGCAGTGTAAAACTGGGGTAAATATTCCTCTATAGGGAAAAATTAGTAATGGTACATGAACACAGTGAAATACTATGCAGCCATTAAGTTAATGGAGTAGACAAATACTGTTGCCATGGAGCAGTTATCCTCAGGAGACTGAGTGGGAAGAAAATTGAGTTCCAAATTTATTTATATAATACCACTGACCTGTAACCCCCTGTGTGTGTCTGTATGTATCTAAACAGAGAGTGTTTCTGCATATCCATCCATATAAATGTGGCAAGTGTACACATGCATACAGGTGACCACTCCACTCCTAGGGTTCAGTCCCAGACCTCTTTTCCATTTAGCTTGCTCCCACAGGAATCTCAACCAGTCCCAAGGCTCAGACCATCTGTATGTTGACAAACCCCAGTTTACATCCAGTTCACACCTGTTGGAACTCCTGACCCTCCAATCAGCCTCCTGCTGACAGCATCATTTAGGTGTCCAGCAGACATCACAAACGTAAGATACCCAAAGCCAGGCCCCTACCCACCGCTGACCCCAAACGTGCTCCTTCAGAAGTTTTCCCTGGTTCAGGAAGAGGCAGCTCCATTTTCCCAGTTGCTCAGGCCAAGCCCGTTGACTCCTCTCCTTCTCTCGTATCCCATGTCCAACCTGCCCATCATGGCATCTCATTCCTCTGCCACCACCCCTGGAATACGGTGGGGCTCCCGCTGTCCTCTCTGCTCCCTGGCCCCTCTTTAGTTCACTGTCAGCACAGCAGCCCCCCTCCACGTGCTTTCCTCATCACATGGAACACGCTCTGTACGTTTCTTACGTACCCTGCTTATTATTTATTCTCCCCAACAGAAGGAATGCTCCATGAAAGCAAGACTTTTTCTCTGTTTCATTTCCTGCTGTGTCCCAGCACCTAGAACAGGGCCCAGGACATCTTCCAAGTGATACCACGACTATGTGTGTGTGGGGCTCCCCTCCACCTGCTAATAGCTTCCTCTCTTTCCTGGGGACTTTCTCCAATGTCTTGGAAGGCTGTTCAGGCTGGAAGTACTCAGCATTAACACCTACCAGCTTCAACCAATGGGACCTAGGGTATAAATGCTTCTGTTCCCTCACCCATCCAATGAAATGTCTCTGAGGCTCATGTTCTACAGCACTTCTCAGAGTTTGTCTGTGGGATTAGGCTCCATCCACCCACAGCACCAGCTAACTTGATAATCACCCTCAGTTGGCTACCTTACTTTACCCCTCTCTAATACTGTTTGCTGCAGCTCCCAAATGAATTGCTTCCTTTTTGATTCTTGTCTCAGGGTCAGATTCTGAACAAGCACAACACAAATACTCACAAGTTTATTTGAGAAATTCTGATGAATAATTACGCACAGCAGATTGTTAGAAATGCTCCCCAGAGTTAACACCTGTTAACTCTGAAAGGTGAGACGGCAGCTGCTTTTAACTACGCATCTATACTCAAGTAGTATTACGGTTAGTAAATGTCGCTATACACTTCCCCAACTGTCTCTTAAACATCTTTTTAATTAAAAAAAAAAAACAACTTTTTTTGGCACACCAAGCAACATGCAGGATCCTAATTCCCCAGCCAGGAATCGAACCCGTGCCTCCTGTGTTGGAAGAGCAGAGTCTTAACCACTGGACCACTAGGAGAGCCCCAAGTGTCATTATACAGAAATAACAAGGCTGTCTCTCGCTCCCCACCCCACACTCACATAACCTAAATAATGAGTGAACCAAGAATGCAATGAGACTCTTCCCTCCACAGTAAGATGAGGGCGGCTCTTAGAAAACTCCCTGGGGCTACAGTTGGGTCACTGCTTATGAACCGAAGAGCAACCGAGGGGTCCCCCTGAGAAGGAGGGAAACTGAGCAGACATCCTCCTGTTCTTCCCATGCGCACATTTCAGAAGCCGTGAACACTGCCTACAGTTAACGTAGGCGAGAAGACACACAGTGCTCTGTCTGGTCAAGGATTTGTTTGAAGGCTCATGATTGTCCCCATCTGGTAAGCTCCCAGTGCTTCTCATCCCTGTAAGACACTTCTTTCTAATTATTTCCCCCTCTGATGGTGTGCCAGGACACTGGCCGGGAAAAAGCCAGGCAGAAAGAAGTCTGTTCAGTGAAGAGGAACCCAAAACTTGCTGCCAAGGATTAAAACCAAGCAAACTTGTAATTTTCCACTGGAGAAAACATCCACACTTTTTTTATTAGTGCCATCTCTTCTCCACAAGTGGCCTCTAGAGCAACTGCCGGAAAAAAGCATCTCCTTGTTTCCTTACTAGATTTACATGAAGCATACAGGCAAACTCAGGAAGACGGTGATGAGGCTTGCTGGAGAAGCTGGCAGCAGGCGCTGGGAGAGCAGTAGACCAACCTGAAGGGAAATCATGTCCGTGGACGAAGAACCTTGCAACAGATTTTTTATTTGCATAACAGTCTGTTACTGGTGGAGGCTCTAAATGTGATCCCAAACTCCCACATAAGTGAGTTTTTACTTAATCCAGAATTTTTTTAAAATGGCCTATTTTTATTGAACTTTTATTAGGTAAACCCAAACAGGTCAGTCCCAGGTTTTCCATGTTCATAGGAATTCTAAATCAAATCCCAAATTCCTGAAGAGACTCCAGCCTCTCCCTGTATGTCAAATTTAAATGATAGATTTCACTTTGTAACATCAAAAGAGGAATTTTGAAGACCAAAGAATAGCCCTGGTTTTTTGTTTTGGTTTTTTTTTTAAACAGGGACAGTAAAGTGGTGTCTCATTAATTCAGACTGATGTGGTGAAATCTTTGTGTAAGTTAGTGAAAAACCTGGGCTTGAAATAGTGCCATCTTGTGACTTTTGGTCTACCCAATGAATCATATTATGTCTGAATTACTATGAGGGAACAGGTTTGCTGCTCTTAAGAAAGCTGCTCTAATGAATGATTATTTAAATTATGTATCATTTGTTATTCAGTATCACTTAATTTTTATGTATTTTGTATCATTTCTATGTATTATATATCAATATCAATAGGTGATTTTATAGCACTTAAATTTAAGAGATTTGAAAACATACTTCCATACAAAAAAATGTACACATATGTTCTCAGCACTATTAATCCTAATAACCAGGAAGTGGAAACCACCCAAATGACCAACTACTAATAAGTGAATAAATAGATGTGATACATTTATATAATAGAATATTAATCAGCCACAAAAAGGAATAGAGTACTGATACATATTACCGTATAGTTGAACCTTGAAAACATTGTGCTAAGTGAAAGATGTCAGATACAAGAAGCCACATGTTGTATG